ACATATATATAGGAAACAGTTCGAGATCGTGAAGAGGTAAAAATTCGAGGTTCAACCAGGGAGTGGGACAGAAAGAGAAATAAAAGCATCGCTTATGTCTCTTTAAAACAGAAGGAAAAAAAACTAGCAAACTGTGGACATTTCTAGCTTAATGGGGAGAAAAATCATCAAGTCAAGCAAGCTGTGACGTCAGAAGTATGCTGTAGTGTCACATTCCCAGCATGCTTGAGAGAGGGTCACTTGGAGACTTTGAAACATCGACGTCTGTGGTGTAGAGGTTTTGCACTCCGCCGTGGCACGCAAGAAACAGGAGTTTGATTCCCGAGTGGGAAGGAAAAAAAACGGAAATAAAAAAACAAACTGGAATGGCTCTAAACAACAACAAAAAAGCAAACAAAAAAACAAAAATTACTTCCGCAATGACATAAATGAAATATATGGGGGCTCTCGTGGCCTAGAGGTGTTCACCTCTCAATCAATAGGTCCCGGGTTCGAATCCGGATAACGACGGAAGATTTTCTTATCTAAGAGTTTTCTCCTTTCACATCTTTTCCTGCCCTCTAAAAATATTCTGCCTTCTGCTTTTGTCTCCACTGATCCCCCCCCCCATCCCCCTCACCTCCTTTTCCCCTCCTCTGGGTTCCTGACTTTTTCTGCAGCGTTTCTACTGCTACTCATTGGCCCCTTCTTACTGCTGTCTTTCAGCCACACCCCTGATCTTCTGGTAGGAAAGATGTACACCTATCCTTCTCGGAAAAGGGCTAAAAACCTCGGAGGTCCCGTGTGTAAGTTGCGCACATTAAAGATCCCTTGGTGGTCCAAAATCGAAAAAGCAGGCTTCGGCTGCCACCCGGGCAAAAATCAAAATTTCCTGCCAACTGAAAATGTTTAATATGTCCCTCACGCTCATATGACCTTATGGGGTTGAGAGCACCGTAAAACACTTACCCCCAAAAATGTAAATATGACATGCAGCGAGGCATTAATTTTGAATCACGAATTCACTTCTTGCTCTCCCTCGCCTGTAGGCCTCCCTTCCCCCCCCACCCCCACCCCTCGCCATCCTTTTCCTTCATAAGGCACAATTCTCTCTGTTTCCCTCAACCTCACACACTTATTCCCCTTTTCTTTTCAACAACCTGTCACACTTTTTGAACGAAATCTTAACGTTCAGCCTGCTCCTGATTTTTCCAGTTTTTCTCAGGTTTGTTTATTTGCTTGTTTGTTTGTTTGTTTGTTTGTTTGTTTATATTTTTGTCCTAGAACGAGACCAGGTCGACGCTTGAAAGTTGAAAGCAGAAAGACGTGTTTCTTGCGATTAGCGTCGCTCCACCGTTAGCAACATCTGACGTCACGAGGAAAATAAAACTATAATATCACCACACACGTTAACGCTCTGTCGTTCAGAGCCCTCATCTGGCTTGGCCGAAACATCAGCTGACCTCCTCCACGTACGTTTGTAGAAAGTTCTCATTTGTTTGAATACTGTTTGTACGTTTCTAGAATATTCTCATACATTTAGAATGATATTTTCTGTTGTACACACACAATTAGTGTGTCAGTTTCTATTGTAAACAAGTAATTAATGTATGAGTTTCTACTGTAAACATGTAGATCTAACTATAATGTTAGTTTCTATTGTAGGCCTGCACACGTAATTATTGAACGAGTTTCTGTTGTAAGCGTGTAATTATTGTGTGACTTTCTATTGTAAACAAGCTACTATTGAGTGATTGTTCCATTGTGTAGGTTTGGAATACAAACGCGTAACCATTGAGACAGTTTCTACTGATGTTACTGTAACTATTGAGTGATTGTTCTATTATAAACGTAACTATTATTCGTCAAGCTGCTACCTTCTTGGCTAAGCCATTTTTTACACTTTGGAGACAATTGAAAAAAACAACTTTCGCAGTAAGTGGAAAATGCACTTTGATAGCCCAAATTTTCCAGAGCTAATTAATTAACCAGACCTCATTAGTACTTATAGTTATTTTCCAATAAAATTCAAAATTATGGGATGTGACTGAAAGCCATTTCATAACTTTGGCCTTTGTCTTGGGCCGTTTTACAAAATGACTTGAGCCATTTCGTGATTGTTGTATCTGATTTAGGCCATTTTGCAAAATGACTTGAGCCATAATTTTTTAATTTTTTTTTCGATTTTCAATTCTGAATGACTTAGGCCATTTTGAGAAGAATTTGACAGAAATGGACAGTTAGATCCAAGACTGAGGGTAAAAAGCGTGCCCAGGTTTTGGCCTAAGTCTGACTTAGGCTAAAATGAATGAGAGACGAATTGTCAGACAGGCCAAATTACACGAGAAAATCAATGTCACTTTGGACATAACCCAAATGAATTTTTTTAATGGTTTGGAGTATATTTTTAATTTTACATCACTATATTAAGCAGAGGTCAAGGAATCCAGTTGATCATCTATTGCATTTTGGCCAAATTCTGACGTAATATGTGGGTTTCGAATGTGAACACGTAACTATTTAGTCAGTTTCTACAGTAAAAGTATTAAATGAGTCTCCACTGTAAAAGTAACTATTGAATAAGTCTCCATTGTGTAAAGCAACTATTGAGTTAGTTTCTATTGAAAACACGTTACTATTTCAATAAGTTCCGAACTTTGCCTCGTGACTAGTGGGTGAGTGAAAAGCCCAGAGGGACAAATTTTTCAAGAGACAAAAAAATATTTTGGTGCTTTTTTAAAACAATTGTATACATAAAATACTGTATTGTTTGTTTGGTTTGGGGGCTTTTTTCAATATGCAGAATTTGAATTTCGACAAAATAGTTCTGGAGCACACGTAACAAATACCAAAATACTACAATATTGTTTTTAATCAAAGTGCTGTTATTTGTTTTTGCAAGTGTTTTACTGCGCTCGCAACTGCATAAGCCCATATGAGCACGCCGGACACATTAAACATTTTCAGTTGATAGGAAATTTTGAATTTTTCCCGGGTGACGGCCGAAGCCTACTCTTATAGATTTTAGAACCCCAGGGGATCTTTAACGTGCGCAACTTGCACACAGGACCTCCGAGATTTTTCGCCCTTTTCCAATTAGGCAAGGTGTAGATCTTTCTTATCAGAAGATCAGGAGTGTGGCTGAAAGACAGCAGTACGAAGAAGCCAAGGAGAAGAAGTAGAAAGGCTGTAGAAAGACTCAGGAGGCCAGAGAAGGGGTCAAAGGTGAGAGTGTGAGGGCAGAAAGTGGAGACGAGAGCAGACGACAGAACATTGCTAGGCTAGAGAGCAGGAAAGGAGGTGAAAGGAGACAGTTTTAGAGAAGAAAGTTTTTTCCCGTCGCTACCCAGATTCGGATCCGGGACCTTTGAATGTGAGGCCAACACCTTACTGGGCCACGAGAGCCCCCTCAAAGTGTTGGGCTTGACATTTTTTTTTTTTTTTGGTTTGTTGGTTTTTGTAAACCTGGAGAACGATATGTCTCTTGAAGTATTTTTTATTCAGTTTTTGTTCTTTTAAAAAAACCCAAAAAACTAGGACTGAAAGCAAGGTTTTTAAAGACAGGCTATCGTCAGATGTGTGATTGAGTGCTCGTTTCGTTCACCCTTTGGTGCATGGGGCATGAAGCCGTCAAAGTTAGTTGTTCCAATTCACCATACAAGTTGTTTTATGAATGAAAATCACACACACACACACACACACACACACACACACACACACACACACACACACATATATATATACACACACTCACACACATACACCCACACAGGCACGCACGCACGCACTACACACGCGCGCTCACACACACACATACACACACACAAACACACACACAAACACACACACAAACACACACACAAACACACACAAACACATACTCACACACACACTCATAATCTGACACACAAACCAACACAAACATAAGATTTGTATTCCAAATTCCACCCCTTAAAAGTACCAGACTCACTAATATCATAATTCCTTTAAGCTCTTCATCTCTAAAACTGAAATGTGTCCATCCAGGATTGTATACACAATATAGCATAATGCTCTTATAAGAGAAATGTAAACAAAGCTGTGATATCTTTCCCCTTATTCTAAACAATAAATCACTGTACAAGCTATAATTTCATCAGAACTTTCCTCAATAAATTAGAGGAAAGAAAATGGCAGAGTACCAGTTTTGGCGAACACATTGTTTGTTTCAGCACAGAGCAGCATATCGACACTATAATGGTCATAGGGCTGGGAAAAAGTAAGACAGGCAGACAGAAGCGACAGAGGAAAAATAAAGAAGTAGGACCTACCAGAAGCGCCTTTCAACCACCCGCTGAGAATACAAGAAAGTGTTATAATATTATACGCCTATACAGCAGTTAAGAGCTTAATAAAGACTATCTTGTTAGATGAAGTACGTCAAGACTGGATATTTCAAGACCATCAGAGAGGTTCACACGCCTTGTTGAGCCACATATTACGTAATCATAAAATGCATTATTATATTTAGATATAATGATTATTATTGGCTGGTTGAGATGTCTTTTATTTAAGGAAAAGTTGTGTCCACGTCTGTCGGGATGAGGAGAGCGGCGGTCAGTGTGTTGGTCAGTGTCCTGTGTCTGGTCACGTGTTGCTGGGGCGGTCATCTCAAGTCCCTGACCTGGTGAGTAGATATCTTTCTGACCTCTTCAACTGTAAAATTGGAATAACTTGTTAAATATGTCACAACACGGTGGAATCGGGCTCTCGTCAATTTCAAGGTATATTATAGTAATGTAGATCATATCTATAGCTCCCACTCCCGTGTTCAAGGCGCTTTATGAACAATATTTCGCCACCACAAATGCGGGCGCAGACACACACACACACACACACACACACACACACACACACACACACACACACACTCATTTACTTGCTTATTGCAAGCGCAAGCTTGTACATCGTTACGAAATTAACACATACAAAATCACATAATTAAAAAATATACACAATGAAATTCTCAAAATACATAAATGGATACATAGTCATTTACATAACATTGTACTGAACATGAATCTGGAGTTGTTGGTATGGTCTTAAACTTGTTAATTTGTCTTGCTTTTTTATTAAGAAGTATCCTACTACAATACAAGGAGATGGGGTTAGCCTTGTGTATAGGGTAAAGAAAAAAACCTCTAAGACTTCCAAAGTTGCAAGTCTCCATGGAAACTTCAAATTTATATTGTGGGGGGGGGGGGGTGGGGGTGTGTGGGTTTATAAACCGGTGTGTATGTGTGTGTGTATATGTATATGTGTGTGTGTTTGTGTGTATATGAGTGTGTGTGTGGGGGGGTGTGGGTGTGTGCATTTGATTGACATTTTTCAGTTAAATCCACACAGAAATGAGTTTTGAAGCTCAAGTGAAAGGTGTGGAGCTCAAAACAAAAACCTCTATAAAAATTGACCATCGATCGCAGAAAGGTCAGTTTCTTTAATTTCCTTATTTTAACCAGCGCCTGATTTCACTACGATGCCAAACGTTTGTGTATTTCCCAGGGGAGACAAGCAGGCTTTTCTTGACGCCCACAACCAGGCCAGGAGACAGGAAGGCGCGGGTCTGAGGGATCTGGTGAAGTCTTAAATAGTGTCATGGCACGGGGAAATCAGGCGCTCATCGGTTTTTAGGCATAATATGAAGTTATTAGAACGATTTTAAAGCCTGTTCTTTTGTCTTGCTTTTGATGAAAAGTATGCCAACACATCTTGAATAGAATTTGAGATATTTGCGTTTGAAAGAGGCGGGGTTCGCCTATTGTCAGGGGTATAGCAAGCCAGGAAATGGCCTCCAAAATTAGGGGATTTTTTTATGCCTGAGTGTTCTTGGAAACTGCAAATGTATGATTTTTGTGCCTTTGATCACTTTTTTCATTAAAATTTCATAGAAATGTGTGGGGTTTTTAAAATAGGTTTTGAGTCAAAAAATAAAATTCGACAAAAATTGCCCAACGGATAAGGAAAATGCCAGTTTCTTCGGTTTCATAAGTTTGAAGAGCACCAGATTTCACCACGTTGCGACACTTTTTTCCTCTTTCCCTTTTTTCCGGTGTCTGTTTCCTTGTGGTGTCGATGAGAGAAACAAACGTCTTCTCTTTTTTTGGTGTATCGCCTGTTACATGGTTATGTTATTTTTGACTGATGTTTCTCTGACCCACTCTATCCATCTTTTCCTGTGCGTACCTCTTCTTATGTATCCATCTGATCTCTGGCTGTATGCTCTTGCTGCTATAGTGTCTGGTGGTTGTCTTGACAGATGTCATTTAAGGAATGGTTTATTTTTGCCCTCCAAGGTTCTCTGACTATCTCGTTCCTGACTCTTCTTGTGCTGTTCCATCTCAGTTCACAAGCTTTTGTTTTATTTTGGTGATTTCTGTTTATCGTCCATGTCTGGGCTTGGTAGCACAGTGTTTGGTATAAAAAAAATATGCTGTTGATGAATTCTCGCTTGATTCCATTGTGATCATAGGATGTACACGTAATTATGGTGTTAGTTGGTAAGTTACAACACTCAGAAAGTCATTTACAATTTGTATGTGTATGTATAATATGTGTGTGTGTGAGTGTGTGTGTGTGAGAGTGTTTGTGTGTGTGTATATATAATATATATCTCTCGAACATACCTTTATTAGTTCTCCCCATCACGCCTGTCTGTCTGTCTATCTGTCTGTCTATCTACCCCTCCCCGTCCCAGCTTCCCTTTCTCCCATCCGTCGGCCCCCAAACACACACACACACCGTGCCTCACCCTCACCCTCCTCTACCATTGCCCTTTTCAACCAGACGTGGAGTGATGACCTGGCTAACAAAGTGTCCGTCCTGGCCTCCACATGTCGCATGAGCCACACACCGGCCAGCCGGAGGTATTGGGGAGAGAACATCATGGCTACGTCAAGTGAGAACTCAACATACATAGTTAGCCCGCGTGTCCACCAAACCAGAAACTGGCCAGTCGTAAGTCGTCCGTCTCTCAGGAAGTCGGTAATTGAAATAGATCAGTTTTTCTTCTTGTGGGGGGGGGGGGTGGGAAGTGGGTTTTGGAGGGTTTTGGGGGTTTTTTTTTAACCTTAGCAATCAGTGAGAATTCCGTTTGGATGTGTCCACCTAAAAAAGACACAACACCTCCGGACAATAATTTTTTTTTACTTCTAATCTTCAGAAGAATGTTAAAAACAATCAGGAAACGACAAATGCAGTTTCTGGGACACCTGAATAGACATAAGAGTCTTGAACATTTAGCTCCCACTTGCAAAATTGAGGGCTAACGAGACAGGGGTAGGCCCAGAACAACATACTTAGGGAACCTAAACAAATGGGTAACAGGGAAAGATCAGGGAAACGTAGCTTATTTTAGAGCATCTGAGCAAAGGAATGAATGGAGAACCAAGGTCGCCGATGTCTGTCGCAGATCTGGCAGTGGATGATGATGAAACTTCAGGTCGGATGAAAAAAGACTAAAGTTACATTCGTAACCAGCGCCTAAAAATTAGCACCATCTACGCACAAAACACTTAATTTTACCATTTGTATACCATTAAAATTAATTCTTATTCCCGCCATGCGGCCATTGACTTATTGACTATTTAAGCCCGATATCGAGAAATATAGCATCGTCAGAGCTACCCATACATTGATGGACACACACGCCAGACATGAACAGACCGAATTGTCTCCCCCAGATAAACAAAATATGGGTAATTTCTCCTTTAGTGGACACGTGGACTTAAGCAAACAAACAAACCCAAACAAACAAACATATATCAAATTTTCATTTTTACGATTGTATTTCTCTGAATTGTGTTAAAGGCGTTGAGGTCTACAGCGAGTTGTGGATTGTGTCACCATTACAAGTTACTTGCTGTTATGTCTTTGCTTTTCTATCTCTACCATGATGCTACTTACTTGCACAACAATCAGTACTCATAATTTTATTATAATACATTTTAAAAATATTTTTTACTATGTGCACTACTGCCGTGTCAATTTTTTTATTTTTTACAGAAACATTAAATGAAGACAAAACAAACAAAAACGACATTGTACAAATATTTTTTTTTTAAATTAAAAAAATGAACAACGTAAGTAAGAGACAAACAAAATAACAAAAAAATACTGTACCACTTACTTTTTTTTAAATTACGTACCGCGAAGTGTGACAAGAATGTGCAAGGCGGCAAAGAGGCTTGAAAGTTTGAAGACGCTGATGCCACAAAGGGAAACTACTCTTTCCCAAACACAATCAATCTGTAATTCCACAGTTTTGTCCCTTAGAATAACTTGCGTCAGCTGCGAATCCCTATGGATCGCTGTGAACAAGTGATATTTATTTACTTGTCTATTTATTTAGTAAATCATGTGTTTTATTTGTTACTTATTATTTATATCAATAATATTTTTATTTTTATTTTTATTATTTCTGTAATTGTCATTGTTATTAATTATATTTAAACTATTATTACAACATGTACTTAGGATGTTCTCGTACATTCTTCAGATCGCCACATCAGCGCCCGGTTAGTCGCCGCACAGGCCACAGAGATGTGGGTCAGTGAGAGAGCTTACAACGACGGGACCTACAGGTGTATGACTGATGGAAGCTGTGGTCACTACACTCAGG